CAAGACAGATACTAAAAATAGAAGTAGAGTGAAAACAGTTGTAAAGTAACCAGTTTTCAGAGGCAGCTTTGGCTTCCAAGCATTTTAAAAGTGTGCTCATATGGACACACATATATATAAATAAAACTTAGGGTAAATACTGCAAGTAATTCATGCAGTATCTGCTAATTTACCTGAATTCTCCATGGTGGGAAACTGTTCCACAAACTGTCACATTTCTAACTGCTGAATTCTCAGCTCCTTTTCTGGTACTGCAGCTGGGATTTACCGTAGAGGCTTAAAAACAAACCCCAGCTTGGTGAAGGCTATTGAGCAGTTTCACCTACGAACAGAATTTGTTTTTTTCAGCAGGGGTTCAGCAATATTTATATTTTATAGACTAAATTACACTTGAAGTAAATGTGAATTTTGCTCTCAGTATTTGGAACTGTTTCTTACGCTTGTTGGGTACGGAGTTCCTTCGGTTACTAGGGCAGTGGTCGGATAACATAGTTAAAGTAGTCCTGGAAACACTTTATCCCATTTATCCTTTTCCTTTTTACATCACTAGCTCCATGCTAATGCTTCCCCATGCAATTCTGGCTGGTCCTCATGGCTGAGCCAAGGATTACTCCATAAGTAGCCAACATTTACCTAGAATGCAGTAGAGCCTCTTACAAAACCCCAAGTAACTTCTCCATTGTTTGACCTCTTACATGATACATAGGGTAGAGCAAACTGAAAGGCACTGCTTTGTATGTTCCAGGGGTGGCAGCCAAACCTTTGGCTGTAAAAAGATTTTTGGACTGATTTCTTTTGGTTTAGGTCTTGTACACATTTATATATGGAGATAACTGTTGAAATGTGTTTTCCCCCCTAAGAAAATGCATGTCGAGCATCCCTTCCCCACCCCCAGCCCCCCATCATCGAGCGCCCGAGTGTGACATTTGTGCACTGTGGTGTAAGGAGCACTTTACTTCCCCGGGGTTTAGAACAAGGAGGTTTGTGGCTCCCCCACCCCACACCGGGCTAAGAACTGTAGGATCTTGTTTAAGTGTTTGGGTTTTAATGTGTATTAGAACTCTGTCACTGTGCATTTCCTTACCTTGCTTTTTCTCACAACTGTTTTTGCTTGTTGGAAACTCTTGTGGTTTGTTTTGGGTTCGCTTTTTTAAAATTATTTCTACAGCGTATTAAACTACATTTGACATTTGTAAAACTTTCAAAACTGCTCTCCTATAGGAAATAGTTTCTTTAGTTGAAAACTTCCTATAAAAAAATCTTAACTATTAGCTAAACTTTTTAATGTAAACCTGAAGATGATTTAGTACCTTACTGTTTGAATACAGTACTGTAGAGCAGGCCTAGGGCTGGGACTTGTTAGCATTGTGACTTCATACTGCTAAAGTCAGCTACTACATGGGACGTTTTTAAATTGTGATTGTTTTCTAAGACCCCCTTGTCTTTTTCACAGCTAATATTTTCACAATAAACACAGCCAAACATAAAAATGTTAATGTACAAATGATGAAATTCTGTTAATTCCCAACAAAATATTTTTGTATATAATAAAGATTTAATATTGAAAAAACATAACTGGGTTTTTTCTGATTTTTTTTTTTGGTCATACTCTGAATTTTAGCCTAATGAGGTATCAAGCAGCAGTCTGGCACCTCTGCCTTTTACTCGGTGCTCCATGTTCAGAAAAGCAGCTTTTCAGTTGGTCTTGTTTAGCTCAATGTTCTCAAATGTGCCAAATCTCCATGTATAGAGAGCCCTTGGGGCCTCTTCAGCCACCCTGCAAATGTCATCACTGCTGACTCTGGGTGCCTCTTGGCACTCAGGGAGTTGTTCTCCTGGGCTCACACTGTAATTAGCCGCTGTCCAAACGCCCAGGGGACTCAGGACTGAGCAGCTTGGAGGAGGCAAGTGCTGGTTACTGGCAGCAGGCTGAGCCTGCTGCTGGTCCTCTGGAGACAGCACATAACTCTTTGCAAAGAGGCTACTGACCTCCTTCCGAATTGCAAAGGTGTGGGTTCTTCCCCCCTTCCTCCTGGGGAATGCAAAGGGAAGAAGTGGCAGTTTGAGGAGGTGTGAAATCAACCCTTTTATGAGACAAGCTTCTGCCTTCTCTGGAACACCCTACAGCTCTTTTCCTAAGGCAGACCACAGCTAACCTTGAAAAAGCACTTTCTGTATGAGGCCAGCCTGTCACAAGGAATTGCTGGTTTGTCGAAGATGTAGTGGATGCACATCCAGCTCTTCTGAAGTGGGTTCTGAATTAATTTGAATCAGTGCAGCTTAGGCTGGGTCCCTGAAGAGCTTATGCTCTTAGCTTAGGGAAGGGCAGGACAGGAGTTACTAGAGAGAGAGAGAGAGAGAGAGAGAGAGAGAGAGACTGACTGCTTCTGCTGCTCCCTGGGATCTTCATATTCCCAGTCTGACATATTCTTAAAATTAATGTGCATAAGAATCCCGTTTTCAACAGCATGGAAGAAGGAACTGGAGAGAAAATGATGAACATATAACCTGCTTTAGTGTTTTTGCCCAGCTGTGCTGCTCACTCAGTTGCAAAAAGGCCATCCTATCCTACCTGCTGCTCTACAGGTGCTTCTGTGGTCACAGGACTGCTGCCAAATGGAGGAAAACTGGGAAACCCCTCCACAAAGAGCACGTAAAAGGATAAAGCCGAGACTGAAGTGCACCCAATGGCTTCTGCAGATGCACTGATCCATCCTAAAAGCATGGCAGCAGATGAGGTGAGGAGCCAAGAGACCCAAGCAATCCTCTTAACTAGCAGGAAGCCTGCGGGCTCTCTGCTGTTTGCCCAAGAGTCTCCTGTTGTGTAAGTCCAAGGCTGCCCTGACTCCTGCCTCTGCACCCCTGAGCAGAGGCCCCGGTGCTGCTGCTCCCATGGCTCCTCCTTGCTAGGTATTTGCCTCTTCCCCTGCCCCCTCACCCTGGGCACAGGGCACAGTGCTAGACCTGCACCGGAGGTGAGTGTCACACACACACACAGCCAATGTCTCCCCCAGTTCCCATCTGTCAGGGTTACAACAACAGGACTCTACATCCTCCTTGACTGTGGTTACTGCCATTAAGTGCTGAAGCTGCTGGGGCTCCCTGGTGCCATAAACACTGCCAGCCCCTCAGGTGCCCTCACCTCAGCTTTGTCAGCAACTGCTATGCTCCTCAGCCTGATCCTGTTCCATGGATTTAAGCTGAAGCAAAAGCCTAATTACATCTGAATTCAAAATAGCAGGAAACAAAACCTCTCTTTTTTTAATGATGTCGCCATAGAACACCCAAGTGTTTGGGAGGGTTTTCTGCCTCTTCAGACAAATCCCCTCTCCTACATCTGTGATACAACACTACACACCCTGAAAGCAGTTACACAATGTAGTGCACATAAGACTCAAAGCTCTATAAGGACTCTCAGAGCACATGGACAGTAGCACCATGTGGATGCCCACACAGCCACTTGCCAGCTGTATGCACCAACTCTCAAGGCCAAAGGCATGGCAGGAATCCCCAAAAGAAAAACAATGGAAATTACATGCATGAGGTTTTAAGTTATTCTATTGTTTTGACATAACATTTAAGAGAAGGTTTTGATAAACTAGTTAGGTACAGAGGCAATTTTTGAGTAGGCAAAAGAAGACATTTTCATTTACAAACATACCAGGAGCAGTCACATGCTTCCATCCTCCTAAAGGGCATTTCCATCTACACCAATGCAGGGTTCAGGAAACACCATCAGCTTCATTTCACAGATGAGCTGCAGAAACACCCACAGAGCAGTATGCAGAGGGATCCTGAGCTCTGAGGATATGGAAAGGTACCACAGTGCTCTTTTGCAAAGTTCACGTCCTCAGGGAAAGCTGAACAGATGTGACTGTTTAAAGGCCTCTCAGACAATCTGCTCAAGACCATGTGGGAATAGAGCAGGAAACCGAGCCAGGACTCCTACCCACCAGCCACACTGTTGGGGTTACTGATCACCCACACACAGGCACCTGCTTGTTGGTCTGTCAGCCACCTCACAATCTTATCTGCAAGCACGGATGTTCCACTTACCTGGAACATCATCTTCCCAAGCCCACGTTTACACTGATCTCTGCTGAACGTCTGTTCCACCCACAATTGCAAAAAATTAAGATAAAAAAAAGACAAAATAGTTCAAAGCACATAGTGCTTTACTAACACTTTGCTGTTAGTCAAAGAAACAAACAAAATATCTGCACTTAAAATGTCATATGGGTAAAATGATAATTTTTGGGGTGTGCACCAGGGACCCTTCACGTGCACACACCAAAAGGTACTCACTGTTGTACCTCAGAGTGCAATCTAAACAGCTGAAACCTGCTAAGGTGAGTAAAACCTAACCAGAAAACATAAATGCCCTGCAGAGGCATAAATCCCTAAGGTGGGCTTGGTTTTTGAAAAAGAGTGGTTTTATTTGCTGCAGTGTGCAGTTCACATCCATAAAGCCAAACAACATGTAATAAGAGAACCTAATCAAGTACCTCTGTGAGAGCCCTCTGTTCCACCTGCTCCAAAGGCATTCTGCACATCCAGTCTTAAAGGAGCAAAGCAGTTGCTGCAATGCAGAACCCTGGATTTCCACAGCCTGCTTGTTTGCTTGCTTACAAAAAGCAGTTTGTACTTCACTGTTTTCTCCCACGCATATTAATGCAAGCAATCAGGCTACTACTGCCCTGCAGATCTGACACCTACCACAACAGCTATGATGTTCAATTTCTCTTCGAGGCTTCTCTCTTTTTAATTCCTCCCCTTCATCCCTTATTTATGTATTTTCCACTGCAGACAGATATACCTTAGTGAAATTGCAAAGCAGTAGCACAGCAGTGCAGAGCACACCCCAGGTGTGCCGAGTGCCCCTGACTGCCCTAACCCAGTACCCAACAGAGCAGCTCTACTGCTAGCCCAAACACACCAATGCTACAGAGCTACAGAACATAGAACAGGCTACAGCAGAAAGTGGATACTCAGTAACGCTCTTATACATTCCCACCTAAAGCATGAAATCCATACAGTGCAACATAAAGAACAAGTGGGAAGAATCCAGGTTCTTTCGTAGTTACAGCTTTTACAGAAGACTCTGTCATTTCCAAATGAATGTTTGATGAAGCAAACAGCCTTTGCACGACATCAAATCTTCCTCTGTCAGTGAGAGTGGCCACCAAAGGACTGCTCACCGCCACAGTGCCATCGGCTGAAGCAACGTTAGGCTGCATTTATGAGAGAGCAAAAGACAGAGGCATTAAAACATTCTCCACGCAGTGCTGTTCCTGACACCACACAGCTCAGCTCTTTCCTACAAAGCCACTGGAGAGCTCATCAGGCAGCAGCAAAAGGGGAAGATTCCCTTTGCCATTAGACTTGACAAGTACCATGTACTGATCCAGAACCAGAACTCTTTGGCACCCTTTAAGGAGAAACATATGTCCTACTGTGTCCTCCCCCCAGGACAACTTCTCTCACTGCACATCACACTTAACTCTCACTGAGCAAACAGTAGCACTCTCCTTGCCCATACAGATTTAAAGGTTTATATTATTATTATTATTGTAAGTGAGCTTAAAAAGCTAAAAAAGCCATAGAATCACAGAATGGTTTGGCTTGGGAGGGACCTTAAAGATCATCCAGTTCCAACCCCCTGCCATAGGCAGGGACACCTCCCACTAACCCAGATTGCTCAGAGCCCCGTCCAGCCTGGCCTTGAACACTTTCAGGGATGGGGCAACCATGATATCTCTGGGCAACCTGTCTCAGTGCCTCAGCACCCTCACAGTAAACAATTTCTTCCCAATATCAAACCTAACCCTACTCTTTCAGTCTGAGTCCATTCCCCCTTGTCCTATCACTACATGCCCTTGTAAAGACTCTCTCCATCTTTCTTGTAGACTCCCTTTGGGTATGGGAAGGCTGCAATTAGGTCACCCTGAAGCCTTCTCTTTTCCAGGCTGAACAAACCCAATTCTCTTACTCTGTCCTCACAGGAGAGGTGTTCTATCCCTCTAACGCCCTGCACCATCCCTTCAGCAGTTTCAGTGAATGACCTCAGAGTTTTGGGACTTCAGAGTTTGCCAAAGCCCCAGCAATGCAGCTATCAAAAGCAAAATTTCTGTTTCCCATGGGCAGGTGATTACTGTTACTGAGACTTTAAAATAGGGAGACTCAAATTAAAATCTGAGCTTAATTTACAATTGTATTTTGCTCACAACCAATGAAATCTCCAAAACACAGAAATGTTTAGAAGTTAGGCATCCACCTGCAGTAAATTATGTGCTTCACTTGCCACTGTCAGAGCCTGACCTTGGCTAAGCAATGCCTACAGCTGAAATCTGCACTGGAGCTTGACATCTCCTTTATTGGGTAAGAAACACAGTAAGGCCGAGGGAGGACATGACCATTCCCACTGCTGGGCCCACATGCCACAATCACATCTCCATTACTCACCAAACAACACAAAGCTGGAACAACCTGGAGATCACAGCAGGCACGCAGCAAGGCAAGAGTGTAATCAGACAGCTCTGTGAAGGAAACATTAATAGGGAA